GGCACAGAACCATCATGCCCTTCTGCTTCGTCACATGCAGTTTGCGATACAGCTTCTTCGCCAATTAGGATGGTTAATCAATCTGCAGAAATCGGAACTAGTCCCAACGCGCCAACTTCAATTCATCGGAGCTGTTTTCGACACACAGGTCAACAGACTGTTTGTCCCGAGGGATCGTTTCTGCAAGATACAGCGGTTGGTCTCCATAGCTCTAGCGCAAGCCAGGACGCTCCGTCAATGGCAGGAACTTCTAGGCCTCTTGACGTCGGCTCAGGCGTTGACCCTGAGGGGTCAGCTACAACTTCGTCCGTTACAGCTATTTCTAGCACCTTACATCAGAGTGGGGAATCCCGGTGCTTTGATCAGTCTACCTCTGGAGCTTCGTCCTTATCTACAGTGGTGGATGATAGAATTGAATGTCTGCAACGGAGTCTGTTTAGAGCCGTTTGTTCCATCTCACCACCTGTATGTGGATGCGTCGCAACACGGGGTGGGGAGCTCACCTTCTCAATCTACAAGTGGCAGGGCTGTGGTCTTCCGAAGATCGCGCTTCTCTGGAGTTCAGGGCAGTGATTCTAGCAATCAGTCACTGGCAGGATGTTCTACAATCAACCTCTCTCATGGTCAGATCGGACAACGCAGCAGTGGTGTGGCATATCAACAGAATGGGGTCAACAGGGTCTCCACGGCTTCTACGGTGGACACAAAGATTCTTCAACCTGGTGGATTCTCTCAAAATCTTGGTGCGGGCCAACCACATTCCCGAGTCGACCGAGTCGTCCCTCTCCAACGGAATGGAAATTACATCCCCAGGTGTTTCAGACTCTTTGCCTTCCAATGACGTTTCCAACAGTAGATCTCTTCGCCACGAGGTTCAATCATCAGCTACCTCGGTTTGTGTCACCACTACCGGACCTTCTAGCTTGGGACCTGGATACTCTGGCCATTCCGTGGGAAGATCTGAACGCTTACGCGTTTCCGCCAGTGGCCCTTCTTCCTCGCATTCTGGTGAAATTGCATACAACTCGAAGGATAACTCTGCTTTTGGTCGCGCCCTACTGGCCGGCCAGAAGTTGGTTAGTAAATCTTCAAGACTTAGCTGAACCAGATCCCCGTGCCGCTCCCCAATCGACCCGATCTATTGGTTCATCCACACTCCGATCAACTCCATTGGTCTCTGCTGACGCTCCATCTGCACGCCTGGCGCATCTACATCAATCATTAACGGCTAAGGGTTATTCTTTACGTGTTGCCACTGCCATCACTACAGCTCATCGTTCTTCTACCAGGTCACTCTACGATGACAAGTGGAAAAGTTTTGAAGCTTATTGCAGGAAGAAGGGCATCTTGTCTCCTACTACGGCATCCCCCAGATGATGGTGGCAGAATATCTTCAACATCTCCGGACCTCCAGGAAACTTAAAGGATCAACTTTATCTACCTATCTGGCTGCTCTTAACACAGTTATTGCTACAGCCTCGGGTGTGAAGATTTCCACTGTTCCTGAACTCCAGTCTCTCCTAAAGTCTTTCAAATTGGCTGATCAATCCCAGAAGTTCCGGCCTCCAGCTTGGGATCTCTCTGTTGTACTTGCTCATCTCAGTTCGGCTGAATATGAACCTTTGAAGGATAAAGACTTTGAACATATCTCCTTCAAGACCTTCTTTCTCTTGGCCTTGGCTACAGCGGCCCGTATCTCTGAGTTGCATGCTCTGGATGTGTCTCAAGTACGATTTGAAAAGACTAGACATGCGAAAGTTTTCCTTGGTCTGCGGTGGGATTTCCTGGCCAAGAATCAGTTACCAGGACAGCTGGATCTTTACGATCCCACCATTGTCTACCATCTTGGGACCAGAAGACACAGAAGATCTTTCCTTATGCCCAGTTTGAGCATTGAGGATTTATCTAGCTGCCTCGCAGGATCGTCGAAGACTACGTAAGAGACTGTTCATCCCTATATCTACTGCCTCGACTTCGGAAGTCTCCCGTACTACCTTGGCTTTTTGGATGAGAACTACGATCCTGCGTGCCTATACCTTTGCTGACCTACCTCCGCCAGCAGCGGCCAAGCCTCATGAGACCCGAGCTCTTGCATCAACCATGGCTCTTCACAGGAACTGTTCCCTTCAGTCCATCATGGAGGGCTGTTTTTGGAGATCAGATACTGTGTTCTCCTCACACTACCTACGGGACCTGTCACTGACAGATGTGGAAGGACTACATCAATTCGGCCCCTTGGTTCTGGCACAGCAACTGTCTTCGGCCCGCGCTCACAGATAAAGCAATCCTTCTTCGGTCGGCTCTGCTCTGTACATAATAAAACATATCGATGTTATCCATATCTTGGTACTTTTTGACCTGGGTCTAGACCCTTCTCACCTAGAGAACTAGGACGTGTTGGTACTGTCACACCATGGCGAGAAGACTATGAGGCAAGTCCTGTACTACATGTAGAGATGGTCGACATTCCGCTTACTGACCTCTGCTCTTTGAGCAATCACGTCAGTGAAGTGTTGATCCCGATTACCTGTATGGTTTTCAAAGCGTTCTGCTCCTAAGTCCTTTCTCACCTTTGGTAAGTTAGGGAGATTGGTACTGAACGTTAAACTAGTTGAGCAACCGGGCTATTCCTTCTTTCACCGCCTTCCAGCGTGTGTCTGTGGGGGATAGTTTCGAAGCAGGGACTGTCCAGATTAAGGTCCTCGACTTTAATTCACTGGGGTCACCTGATAAATCGCGGGGCGGCTGAGCCTACTTGCCAAACTGCGTCCTTTTGCTTGTCAAAAGTTGGGGCTGAAAACCACATTAACTCGGGAGCGCCCACTCCTTAGAGTTTTTGTGCTGTGTAAGCCAAGGGGTTACCTGAAAAAAAAACAAAAAAAACAACAACAAAAACATCTCAAGTTTGGAGTTTGCATATTGGGAGTTGGTGCTTTCTCCTTGCCTCCTTGAGTTATGCGTTTTCCCGGTGGTAGTAGTAACCGGGTAATCTGCGACCCGCCTACCAACCGTGGGATTATGCATACCGTGAGATAGGATAAGTTTAACAATTTGAAAATTTTATAATAAATTGTATATTTATATACTTGTCCTATCTCACGCGTTAGGACCCACCCGACCTGCCCCAAATCACAGATTACTGGAAGCTCCAAGACGAGAATGACAAATAGAGGTGGTCATGTGATCATTTAGGCGAACCGCACGCTTTGATGGATGATTGACAGGCATTGTTGTCGGGGTGAAAGCAGAGGTCAGGGTGGGTCAGAGGCCAGTTAGATTTGACTCAGCTTAGCTGACAGCACGTTTCCACACATGGTCGTAGAAGAGAGAGATGGTGCATACCGTGAGATAGGATAAGTATATAAATATACAATCTATTATAAGAATTTCAATTCATTGGTACACATTGATGTATGAATTGTAGGAAGGAATGATAACTGTATTTTTAATAACATTTTTCCAAATATCAGGTCAGATTTGAAGTAGATAGTTATAGTCTAATAGTGTCCCTCTTATTATGTATTGTATCTTTAACTTATCAAAAGGCATAAATCCATGCTCATCACATACATCTTTTACTGTCAATAAACCCTTATCCGCCCAGTGTCTAATATAAGTGTTTTTATGATTATGATTGAGCCATAATGGTTGTGCAAGAATGTTATCAGTATTGTCAGAATCAGCATTAACCTTTTTTGCAATAATTGTTCCATGCTTTTAAACATCTTTCCAATAAGGGTTTTCAATGGAAGAGAAATGCTCCATACTTGAAGATATCATTATAAGGTATATTAAAAGGATTATTGTCGGATAATTTTTTGCAGTAATTATTGTCTAAGAGTGGATAATTTTAGAACTTCAATAAATGTTTTTATATCAACCATACCCAGTCCCCCTTCAGCCTTTCTTTTTATTTTATCATTATTACCATTCCAAATGAATTTGAAAAATATCTTTTCAAGAAACTTGCTAAAGCCATCTGGAGGATTAGGCAATGAGCTTAAAATATGTACTACTTTTGAGAGGGCTAATGTTTTTATGACAGTAACCTTTCTTATCAATGTTCCCAAGGTTATATGATCAAGCTGGATTGTGTCAAATAGTTGTTTTATTTAAAGAATGTGTTACTGCCATCGATTTCAAATAGGAATATAACTAACACACAAACAAACACACACACACACACACACACACACCAAAACAAAAAAAACAACCACAAAATTATGACAGGGTCATAGGTAAATTTCTAATAACAGAAAATTGCACTCGACTGATTTTTATGTCACTGGATGAACATTGGTTGATGGTAACTTAGTGGTAAATAAAATCATAACTGTTTAAACAAGTTCATGGTCAGCACAGGTATGGATAGTATATAGTGCCTAAATGCAAGAGGTAATTCGTTTAGAGTGTGTGATGAAGCATTTGTTGATATTTAGCAATTTCTAGAGCCAACAAAGAAACAATACATTTTTAACCATTTACAATGATCCACTCTTATATGAACCCATGAAGATACGGGTTAGAGTTGATCTTCAGTAACCCATGCTTGTCGTAAGAGGCGACTAACAGGATCAGGTGGTCAGGTTTGCTGACTTGGTTGACACGTCATCTTATCCCAATTGGGTAGATCGATGCTCATGCTGTTGATCATTGGGTTGTCTTGTACAGACTCGATTATTCAGAGACCGCTGCCATATAGCTGGAATAGTGCTGAGTGTGGCGTAAAACTAAACTCACCTACTCACTCTTATATGTACCCTGAAATGAAAACATTGCTGATGCCTGGATTTGTACCAAAGTAGGCAAAATATCATATTTTTTCACATGTATTGTCTTAACAGACTCATTGCCAGATGCAAAAGAAGGAGAAACCCATGACAAAAAGGTTATTACAATTTGAGAAACTTTTAAGAAATACAAATGTATTATAATGGTAAGCATTGCTTTATGCTAAAGGAACATGTTTGCACTTGGTGATAAATAATTTTATTTTTTAGGAAGGGGAGAACAGACTCCAAACAAGAGTAGATGTGATGACACCAAGAAAGGTATTAGCTGATGGGTATAGTATATGGGACTAATAAACTCAAGATGAATCATAATTTGGTATGCAAATGCTAAGTATGAGGTTGTGTCAGTTTCTCATTTGGCTTCAGATATGGCATTTTCTCCGTCATTCATTTTTCTGAAATGGTTTATTGTGTCAGTTGATAAATGCTACATTTGTACATACATTGAAGAATATTTGTGATACTCATGAAGATGTGTATGTGGGGGATACTAGAAGGTACAAACTGTAAAAAGAACTGGAGCTATAGGCCTCATTTTGTGATCTTGAAATTTTGAACAAGAAGGGCAGCTAACTGCATATCTATTGCACTCAAAATGAGATCAGTCTTGAAACATTTGTAAAAGAAACATGAATGTTTTGTTTTGTAACAGTGTAATGATGCAACATGTTACATCTTGGTGCAGAATAGAAACAGTGGATATGTAATGTCTGTTTAAGGGAACGTTCATTATTTATGGCTTTTGTTACATTGTTTTTATATTTATTTTATTTTATTTTTATTTATGTATTTATGTATGTGTGTGTGTGTGTGTGTGTGCGTGTGCGATGCGTGTAAGGTGCGTGCATGTATTTATTCATTTTACTTATTTATTTATACCCTGTGCATTAATTAAGCACCACCCTATTTTGAAAATAAGATGTGATGCTTCAGAAAAGTTAGGGTAATGTAATGTCCATTTAAGGAACGTTCATTATTTATGGCTTTTGTTACATTTTTATTTATTTATTTATTTATTTATTTTATTTTTTTTTTATTTTTTTTTTATTTTTTTAATTTTATTTTATTTTTATTTTTTTTATTTTATTATATTTTATTTTATTTTATTCTTTTCTATTCTTTATGAAAGAATATGTTGATTAAAATGTGATTGGACTGAAATTTTACCCAAAATAATTATTCCTCTCCTGCTCAAACTACACAATTGAATTACGTTTTGACTAAGAATAACAATTCTGTTATATACCAAGATGACATTTACACATCAAGTAAGCTTTAATTACGCATAATCAGGAAGAACCCGAATGTCAAAGATTCAGACATTTTTCCAACAATTCAGATTGCTAATTGACAAAACTGAAAAAGGCCATATTAATAAGATTTTGGAATAAATGTTTTATGATTTTGAGTTTATTGTATTGAATAAACACTTCCCCTTGCCGGATACTGATAATTACAGCTAAAATCTGTTTGTTTTGTTTGTAAAGCAACTTTTAATGCATTTTAAAATTTGCCTTTTTTTAGTTTGACTGTAACTTTTTCCTAAATCTGAGTTTACAAACTTTCATCCATTCACAATAAATAACAAATGTATAGGCCACACAACAATCAATTATTACTTTCACTTTTCAAAACACCTGTTTTTAATATAGGCAATTATCCTAATCAAAATTCAATGATGTTTTCGTTTTTGAAATGTTAAATGCTTGCTCTATCAAATCATAAAGGTTATTTTTTGGAAAGAGTTGAGAATTTTATTTCAGACAAAATTAATTGGTAGAAATAGAGGGTGGTGCTTGTTTTATGCACAGATGTTTATTTATTTATTTATTTATTTATTTATTTATTTATTTATTTATTTATTTATTTATTTTGATTGATTGATTGATTGATTGATTGATTGATTGATTGATTGATTGATTTCACTCTTTTGATGGGTGGGGGTGGTGATGATTTTAAGGGGAGGGGTCACCCGTTTTCTTCTGGGAGGTAGGGGTAGTCGTGAATTTTGTACACATGTACCCGGGCGGGGCAGCAATTTTGTACATAATTATATTTAAATTATAAATATACAAATTAATCTGGAGGGGAGGGGGGGCATAATTGTATTTGTACTTGGGAGGGAGGTCACTTCCTTTGTACATAAATTTTAAGTTACTCAGATTGTACATGCTTCTCCATAAAAATCATCAAACTCCTCTCCCTTGTGATTTTTGTTGGACTTAAGTTTGTACTGCCAAAAGGAAATTAGCTTGCTAATGCTATTATTATCTCATTGAAACTGACTGTTGCTATTTTTTAACAAGCATGAAACATTAACTGAGTTAATGTATCTCGGTTGATGTATAACACAGTTGCCCAACTATGACCAAATATTGTGATGCAGGTACATGATATACATGTATGGTAGTTCACCTTGTCCAAGCATTCGTTCACAATGGTACAAGAATCTTATCAAAACGTCACACTTATAAAATAAAAAAGAATTTGTTATCCATAGAGATTGTTCAATACAAATAAAAACACTTCTATCTTTTTGTAATTCAGAGCAGCCACATATTACCTCGAGAGGTTAACCGGAATGCAAATCAACAGAATATGATGCTGACCAAGTACCAGGAAGAGGTGTCCCCATCACTGTAGATGACAAGTGATGACAGTTATCTTGATGGACTACAGGAATGATTCAAGTGCATTCATTATGCAGTTTACTGATTTGTTTGATGTATTTTGATAATTGTTCTGACATTCTGATGTCAGCTGAGTAACACCTCCATAATAGAGACAAATTAAGGAACTTCTGTTTTGAAGCAGTAAAATAGTCTCAGCAAGAATTTTTATTTATTTTGCCAGCAGAACAGAAGTTTCCATTAATTTTCCCACACAAACATTTTGTGCTTTTCTGTTACCCATTTGTGCTTATTGTCCTGCTGAACAATTAGACCACCTTTTCAGTGACATTTTTTTTACACTGCATGACAATGTGATTTATAAGTATGATTTGATATAGTTTGATGGTTTGATATTAGTATATGTGGCATGTAGTAAACAATGGAATAGTAAAGTTATGCCATATTTCTTGTATTTCATGATACTGGCTGTTATATTACTTTTGTGATAGTTAGTACTTAATTAAGGCTGCACATACTGGCAACTAAGTCTCTGCATGTCTGCCATGGAAGGCATGTAAAACTGTTGCCCTTTGCCAGAACGAAGAAAGATTTATATGTGTAATTCATGATATGTGAATGATGTCTGACATGTGATGTTACATCTAAATATTTAATGTGTATGCTGTTAGTCTTAGAAAAAAGAAAATTACCCCATCTTGAAATATTCAGCTTTGTCAGTTTTTGTTGCTCCAGATTTCGCCATATTTTGTTTCTGGAGGACATTTTGTGAAATGTAGTTACCTATCATGAGTTCATACCAAATCATTTGATAAAGGTAATAATTTATAAACAAGATGTGCAGCCCAGTGAAACAGTGTTGTTTCCGTAATGACTACAACACAAAAAGATTAATGAGATTATTCTTCATTAGTCCTGGGGAATTGTTTTGGTAAAATGTTCATGTCACAAGACAACACAGGTTCTAAGAAGGAATTCACACATGCATAATTAAACATGACATGTGCCTTCTTCTTTCAAATGGATACCCTGTTCTTTGAAGGTTTTGGTCATGATCATTAAAGTTGATGTCAGTGTTCATGTGGCTGTAAAACATGTTTCACTTATTATTACTCATATATGATGCAAGGTATTCCTTATTTTCATGTCTGGTTATAATTACTGCCATGTTTAATGTTAGTGCTATGTCAACATCGAAGGTGACATTTGAGGTGATTGAGAGTGAGTATGGTTTTACACCACTTTTAGCAATATTCCAGCAATATCACGACAGGGGACACCAGAAATGGGCTGTACCCATGTGGGGAATCAAAACAGGGTGTTCGGGGTGATGAGCGAACATTATAGGCGCGAACATTTTAACCACTAGCTATAGGCTAACACACACACACACACACACACACACACACACACACACACACACACACACACACACACCACACCCCTCCCCCAAGATGATTGTGAAATGTGACTGTAATACTTGTATTTATATCATAGACTTGGTTATTGTTGGATTTTAATCGGTTGTATGGTTTTAAATTATTCCTGTAACACTTGAAAATACTTTAAGGAATGGGGTGTAGGGGATGCTTCTGTTTATGAAAATATTTTCAAATAGCTACCTTGGTTTGTTTACTAGTTTATATTTTCACAAATATGATGGGTGTAATGTTCAATGCCATATACATGTAACCTCCACTTATTTACACATTTAATGTTGGTGAGCCAATGGCATTACTTCAATTGTTTGTAAGAGTCTTTTCAACAGACATAAAGATATGTGTGTGAACCAACTTAATGAGTTTGGTACTACATATACACATGTAATTACATTTCATGGTATTCTTCTAGCCTATCCCATTTCAAGACAGGCTGCTCTGTATTTTAGTAATAAAACATCTTTAACAAAACTCATTTCCTTTTGTAATTTTATGGGGAAATCGGACAATGGTCAGTTTTTATCTGGTCAGCTGATGCTCTACAACATTTCTGAATACACAAACAACTAACACCAGGATTTGATGGATGTCTATACTTGGACAGAAAATGTCCACTGTGACATGTTCACCTTGCACATGCTTGTCTATGTTCAGCTGCATAAACTTATGTGACGCCACAGGCATTGATTTGACTCCCTACCCCAATGCAAATATATACAGTTGATGCCCTTGATTGGGATGTGACTGGTATGATACTGATAGAGGCATCATAACCAACTACCTCTCATTTCACACTATTTCAAAGATGTCCCAAATGTTTAAACTTCTGATATCTTAAGAATCACAGAACACATTTGCATCTTTTACCTTTAGTAAACTGTGCTAAAGGTGTCCAGTATACATTGCTTCTCATGCATACTGTATAAGCACACCTATATTTCAAGTTTAGACCAGACTAATTCTATTTCTTGTTTTACGTATCCTCTGGTTGTATTTTTTCAAGAATACAAAAAAAGAAATAAAAGTGAATTTTCCTCTCAAAAAAATAAAACCTAATGTTTTTATTGGTCAAAAATGTAAACTTACAAGAAATTCTTCTGAGGACAAATATATGTAAAACAAAAAATACATTGCCCTGGCCTCATTGATAAAGAACATGGCACATCACCCAAGAATTGATTACCAAACACCAAATTCAGTTCCAACGGGGAAGACCTGCAGACAACCCTCCACCCTGCTAAAAGACTGAGTATGGTTTTACACCACTTTTAGCAATATTCCAATATTATGGCGGAAGACACCAGAAATGGACTTGAAACATTGTACCGATGTGGGGAATCGAACCGGGCCTTCGGCATGATGAGAGAACACTTTAACCACTAGGCTACCCCCACCCAACCTAAAAGAGTAGAATTCAAACTCTCTCAAATTTTCTAAAGTTACACACTCACCCTGTGTGCATAGTGGTAACAAAACAGGCTCTGTCATGACGAAGATGTATTATATTCTATTTATTCTACAGTTTATGAATGTACTGATTGATTAAAGTAAAGTGCAATTATGACTTGACAGATTGATCCACAATCATCTAGAATTGGGTGACACATAACACTCCCTTCCTCTGTCAAACTCTTTGAGAATGATACATAACTGAGAGAGAGAGAGAGAGGTGTCATCAATTTTGTATACATGCACTTGGTGTGTTTTCATGAAGGAAGAGGGGTGGGGTGGGACTTTTATTCACATTGTACGTGCTTCTCCATAAAAATCATCATCACTCGATCCCAGCCCAGCTATACATTATGAACGGTCCCTTGCAAAATTTTCGATCGAACTTTTAACAAACATTTGAATATTGCTATATTTTCTTTAATATTTATAAATGGTAGTATGGAAGGAAATGCTGTTTTTGTTATGTTGTAGGGAAAAATGCACTCTCATTACACGCTATTCAACTTTACACGACTCAGCAGAAGTAAAGACACTTCCGTGTTCAAGAGAGAAGTAGTGCGTACAAAACACGTATGACGTGGTCACATTTAAGCTCCGCCCACTCATGATTACTGTGCACTTAAGACCATTGTAGGTTTTAGGGCACAGCGACGTGTGCATTTCACTATGAAGTTACCCTGTTTCTTCTTATGTCGCTAAATTCATTGTTCACGAAAATAATGCAAATGTAAATCTATATCATTCAGATTAATCTAGATAACGTTGTACTGGATTAAGCTAAATTTGGTCCAGATTGTATGTAGAACATTCAATGAATCAAGTACATCTATATATTAATTTAGCAGATGTAAGAATCCAGTTTTAAGACAAAAAAGATTTTTGTATGTATTTATGTATGAGTGGGTCTATGTTATGTATTTAGGTATGTATGTATGTATGTAACGATGTTAGTATCTATATCTACTGGCCCAGTGCATACAGCAGATGTACCACAAAGGAAATTGATGTGATATCTCTAAACGGTTAGGTCCCGTAAGTCCGACCTTTGCGTGGGTGTAAAAACAAACTGGTCAGTTTGCTGGGGTATGTCTTTAAGGTCGACAAGTTCAAGACAATGGGCAGTCAATGTTTTTACAACGTTACGGTCAACGCTAATACCATGTTTACACCAGTTCCTAGACTAAGGCTTAGTCTCTGAATGTATATAATTTTGATAGTAACAAACAAGCCCATTTATATTGAAAAGGAGCCCCAGGGAGACCAGAGATTCCTGGGGAAATCTAGACTTGCTTTATTTAGGGCTTTAGCATTGCAGATAGGGCTTGGCAGTAGGGAAATTAATGTGGTTCAGGGACTGTGAGACAGACTATGGTCCAAGTGCATGAGGGTGTTGGTATGTGGAGCCAGTCTGTATGTATCGCTAGTGTTAGTCACTATGTTGTTGTGAGTGAGTCCGGGTGAGTCGGTGTGTCAGCCTGAATGGGACAATGTGAACGAGACGGTGTATCAATACGCGTGAGTCGGTGTGTTAGCCTAATGGAGCCGTCAGTCCGAGTGAGTCAGTGTCTGTCTGACTGAGACGGTGAGTCTGTAAGAGTGAGTAGGTAGGTCAGCCAGACTGAGAAGGTGTGTCTGTCAGAATGAATCGATGTGTCTGACCATGGAAGTTAGTGTGTCTGTCCGATTGAGTTTGAGTGACTGACCGAATGAGTTTGAGTGACTGACCGAATGATTTGGTGTGTCTGTATGAGTGAGTCTGTTAGATGTTAGAGTGAGTCGGTGCGTCTGACCGAGGGAATTGGTGTGCCTGTCCAAACGAGTCTTTGTGTCTGTCCTAATGAGGTCTGAATGTCTGTCCGACGGGGTTGGTGTGTCTGATATGACATTTTTTAATTATATATTTTTTTAAATTATTCATTTTATTTTTTTTAGATATATGTATAGTAATGTTTTAAATTTGGTGTCTTTTAGGCCTTATGAGGTGAAACAACATGACACAATAATAAACTGTTCTATTATTATCAATTCAGAAAGGACAATAGGTGGATATTGAGATTTTAAGACTACGACAAAACAACATTGATGATAGTAAAATGAGAGAGCCACGCCACCTGACGATGGTGCCATTATTTTGATTGGTCAGTTTTACCTGCCTCGATGACGTCACGCTAAAAATACATATGGTTGTCTTTAACACAGCTCTAGCTGAACTTGGCAATGCCTGGATCCGGTTGTATCATTGCTTCATTAACTAATGTCAACATTAAACCCTAATGATACATTAAATCCTTAATGCATCATTAGTTAATAGCATCATTAAAAACGGTTGTATCAAACACTTATTAGCGTATCATTATCT